CAGATACTTTACCTCACTTTTGGTCCCCTGTCATTCCGTACCTATAGTCATCGGTATTATCGTGTCTATTCTCTGTCTCATCAGTATCAGTAAGCCTGTCTTAAAAAGAGTCAGGCTCAGTCCGTGGTCCGTCATCCACCCATCCAAACGCCTCATCACCTGGCTCAGCTTGAGCTGAGTCAGATGTGTGTCGCGGGCTATTATTACGACTGCTATGTCGTCAGCGTAGGCGACCATACGCCTGTCCGGAGGCATGTCGAACTTTATTAGTCCGTCGTACAGTACGTTCCAGAGGTCGGAACCCAATATGGATCCTTGTGCCACCCCCGCTGTAATTTTCCGATACTTCCGTCCTTCCGTCGTTTCATACGTCAGTCCTCGGTCCTTTAAGTAATCCTTCAAGACTCTTAGAAAGTAGGCTGGCAACTGAAAGCCGTCTAGTGCTCTCAGAATATCCACCCACCTAGCAGAGTTAAAGGCGTTCTTTACGTCTAATGTCACTAGGAGCGTTATAGGTCCGGCTCCGTAGCAAATCTCGTTCATTCTGTCAACTACCTGTCTCACGTCTGTGATTGCTCCTATCGTTGAGCGTCCTTTCCGGAAGCCGTGTTGTCAGTCCGATAGGTCGCCAGCGGCTTGCACCGCCGCGTTTAGTCGTGGTCTCAGTAGCAGTTCGTATAATTTGCCGGTCGTGTTGAGGAGGCTTAAGGGCCTATACGAATTCGGCTTATCGGGGTCTCCCTTGCCTTTGTCAATGAGTACCAACCTCGCCTTCTTCCAGAGTTTACTAAAAACATCCGCTGTCAGGCACCCACTGTAGAACTGCAAGAGTATGTCGGGCCGTCGAGTCGCTACATACCGTAGCAATTCACCCGGTATACCGTCTGGTCCAGGAGCCTTGTTCATCTTCAGCAAGGTTGTCACTCGTATGAGCTCTTCTCTTGTGAAGCAAGGACATTCTATTTCTTCATCCGTGTTCGTGACATCGATTCTGTCAGGATGCGTTGGAAAGAGACCCTCAACTATCTTTTCCATTGTCCTAGCGTCTTTTGTCTCCGGTGGAGCTCGGACGCCTAGTTTCCGAGTCACAATTTTGAAACCCATCCCCCACGGGTCCGAGTTTACCTCGTCTGTCAGTTGTGTCCAGCATTGTCGTTCTATGTCCGTTATAGCTTGTCTCAGCCTTTTTGTGGCAAGTTTGTATGCCTCTGAGGCTTCTTCGTCATGTGTGTTTCTTTCTCTTTGTGCATGTCTACGTCACCGGTGACATTCGCGTCTGATGTCTGTCATTTCTTACGTCCACCAGTACATCTGTGGCCGGTCGCGTCCTTATCATTTTTTCGGCATCGTAGCGTCGCATAGGTGACGGAGGTATTTTTCCGCCTCCTCAACTAACTTCTCCGCCGAGTCACGGTCCATACCACTTCGAGTGGTTTTCGTAAATGGCTCTGCATTTTGCAGTAGTCTGTCGAGTTATTTTCTGTCCAGGTATTTCGTGTCCCATCGTAGACGGGGTAAGAAGTTACCTCTTCGTCTAGTCGTATTTTCGTCTGTCACTTCAAAGATGATGTATTGGTGATCACTGGCTGTATATACCTCGATCACTTTCCATCGTCTTATTCGCGTCAGTTGTCTGTCTGTGGCCAAGGTTACGTCTGATATAGATTGACCCCACCCCGGTCGTCTACATGTCGCCGTCTTTCCCTCGTTCACCACTACTAGTTCCAGCCTTGCGGCCATCTCTAGTAGTAGGCGTCTGTGTCTGTTTGTCGTGGGCATACCCCACTCAATCACCCGCGCGTTAAAATTGCCCGCCACGATCGTATTGTCGGATATATCCCTCACTCGTCTTCGATATCTGTGAGTCTGTTGGCATACTTCAACGCGGAATAGTTCCGTGACAGGTATACACTGACGATAACGACAGTGCCCACCCTCACCCAAACATTGCCGAGACTCGCATCGCTTCGTTTCCACATACCCACACCGCCGCCATGTTCGATTTGCTAGCGAACCACGATGGCATTCCTGTATTGTTCGCTTATAACAAGCACGTCTGCGATCATCTCCATCGCAATTTGAGGGAGGAGCATGTGTGCTACGCTACTTCTGTTCACATTGCATTGTAGTATCGTCAGGGTCATTTTTTCTATTTCGTCTTCAGTTCCATCAGTGCTGGTCTGTATACGGCGCACCCGCCTGATCCAGGCACGTGGGCCAAGTTCTGTCCTTCTATCCCCTTACAGAAGAAGCAGTCAGTATTGTTTTTACACTCCTTGCCCACGTGACTCGTCTGTCCGTATTTCATGTAGCAGTTCTTTCTGTCCGGCCCTTTACATTCTCTCCGCGTATGTCCGTACCCGAGGCAGTTGAAGCATCTTTGAGGATTAATGCGTAGTCGAACTCGACAATTCATCCATCCTATTTTGATGCGTTTCCTACCCATCAGTCTCGTTGCTTTCGTAGTGTCGAACTCGCAAACGGCTCGCGCATTCCCATATGCGTTTGGTGCAAAGAAATGCACTTTCCGCTCCGAGTCCGTATTTAGTTCGCGATTTATCGCGTTCGCGATGTCCTGTACCGTTGTGACACAGGCCAAGTCAGCAAACTCCAGCGTCACCCTGGAAGTTAAGTCTTTTACTGTCGCAGTCTGTCCTAATACTTTCTGAAGTGTCCTGTGGAAGTCCTGTCCTTGCGACTTTTCCAGCCGCATTAATACAGCACCGTTCTTGGTTTTTCTAATCATCCGAACGTCTACCTTCTCTGTCTTGGGATCTACCTTCTGTCTGATAGTCCGTAAGACATCGGCGTACAGTTATCCTTCCGCCGGCTTGATCAGAATGGTCCCGCGCCTGGTTTTCAGGTTAGGACACTCCGATCCTCGGCTTCTGTGTCTGTCTGTCATCTTTTGTACCGTCTCTTTGTCGGTCTTTTTCTTGTTCCTTTTCTTTTTCTTTTTTACGACGGTGGCCCAGTCCTCTGACACTTCCGCTTTCATCTCAACATCCTCCGAAGGAGTCTGTTGAGTGGTATGCCCCTCGTCAGGTGTCTGTTGGTTTCCGGCATTCACCCTCGGCGTTTGCTGTGTGGCAGCAACGACTAGGAGCGTTCTCCGTCTTTCGTCATCTACTTGGTCTGGGCTTGGGATCTGTTTTAGCCGTCGCCTTTTATGTCCTGGAGTTTCCTCCATTACATTCGCCAGTCTTTCCGTTACGTTCGTCTTTTATGTGATCTGTCGCATTCGCTTCAGTTCATACATACAAACTTCTACAGCCTCATATATCTCAGCCATACCGTTCGTAATCACGCGGCTCACGTTTCTTTGGACGTTCGTCTTCTCCATCATTTGTCCTAGGACGCTGTGTATGGTGAGCAGTTGCTCTCGCATCTTACTCTCCACAGCGTCTCAGGATTTCGGTGACGTCGACCCTGTCCTTTTTCCTGTTGCAATTACCCGTCCACCAGCTAGGTTTCCTACTCGTGTAACGGGGGAGCCGGGCAGCTCCAGTGATTCTCCTGAGTCGATGGGCGCAGGCGACACTCTAGTACCTGCAAAACATTCTTTACCTTTCATCGCATTTTCATCTCCTTCCATCTACTATGTGTTTTATGTGTTAGTGGTTAGAAATTACCAGGTATAGTGGGTCCTCCAATCTTTCCTGAGTAGACCCCCTAACTGAGCGTACCTAAAGTCCGGTGGCCTCGACCATTCTTCCCCCCTCCCTGCAGCAAGGGCCCTTCCGATCGCCAATCGGCATTACTACAGAGAGCAAGATTTGGCGCTTATAGGCGCTTTACCATTGTGTACGACGAGCCTCCCATGCTGGCTGAGCTGTGTCCGACCCCTCCAACTACTGGCGGCCCGGGAGGGCGAGATTGGTTTTACATTATACCCTCCAGAGTCGGCACACACACAATCTAGGATAAACTTTCTCGTGATTGCTCTCGCCATCGTTTGGTAAAGTTCTGCTTTGTGTCTAATCGACTAATCCGTCATTCCTTTGGTTTCATATCCATTCGGGAGATGCCCGTTTATAGAGCCCCCTCATTTATAACCGCTTGGAAAAACTACCCGTTTATAGGGTTCCATCTCATTCGCAGGCAATATCCGTTTATAGGGCCCTTCATTCATGCTCCCAGAGAATTTTCGGACAATCAATCAGAAGTTTTGTGTGATAAGTGTTTGTGTAAAGCCTTACTGCCTACCACTATTGGCGGCTGTAGCCAGTGCTTCTGTTAGCCGTCTCTATTATAGTGCTGCTGCAGAGAGCATCGACGCAATATTGACGTTTCCAGCGGGCGCGACGTGGACGCCGGAAGTTAGCGTTTCTCTATTGTGGGTGTGATCCACATAATAGAGCACCCACCAAAAAATTTTTAACCATTTATTAAAAGTATTTTTATAATTATTAGCAAATAACAAAAGAAAAAAATATGGTATTTTTCCAAATTGTCTATAAATAGCGTAATTTGTATTCCGCTATATAGCATAATTTTAAAAAACACTAGTATTTTCGACTCACTTAAATTCATCATCTTAATTTGTCACTTGATGTCGAATAAAATAATTCAAGTAAATTCAAGTAATTGTTGAATTACTGAAAATTGCAGTTAGCAAGCAAAATTCATTACGCGTATTTGAGCACCGTTTTCAATTGACTGCGACGCGCGGATGTCGGCTCTCACGCCGCTCCGCGCTCGCCAAGCTGCGTTCTACATTCTAAAGCTAGCCGCTGGTTGGCTACTCTTCAAAGTTGATTATCTCATTACCTAATTAACAAAAAAATGTTTAAATAATTTTATCTTAAATTATTTTTCAAGTCGAATGCAGTGATATAAGTTTCATCCAATGTTTCAGAATCACCGCGTATATCTTCTTCAACACTCAAGAATCATTAAAACTTTTAAAATTATTCATTGCAACCTCTTTTGAACTTATCATTTTTAAAAAATTTTAATAAATTTAATAATTGTTGACCACAAATATTTTTATGTTCTAGTGAATTCGATTTCCGAAGACATATATCATGCGAAATATGTGATGCTAAAGTTAGTGGAGGATATGATCAAGAGTTGAACCAGGTAATTGATGTTATAATTATTAGTAATTACTATCATCTGAAGAACTAAATTAATTTAAAGGTCTGCATAAGTACAATAGTTACCTGTAGACATTAGTATTGATCACATATATTTCTGATAGGTATACAGGACTCCTCTACGTCAATGTTTTGTTAAAATTCTGAAACGTAATGTCTGGAGTATATCATAAATAGGTTTTTAAATTTGTAGCGAAGGAACCAAGCGACACTGATATACTATACTCGCGGATATTCACACAATAATTTGAAAGTATGGTTTTGGGACGCTCCAATACTCCGACAGTTAAATAGTGTGTCGGGTGTCACTAATCATAGGCAATGCTAACGACTGGATGAGGATTTCGACAAGTCAAAAACACTGTGACACTCACTTAATCTTATAACGGGGTTTCTGCTCAGCTTCGCCTGGACAGGAACAGTTATATAATATATAAGTCGCGGGAAATAAATTAGGTTGCTCTCCAGAGCAGCACGGTGCTCCTGCACCGGGTGTCTTGGGTCCAGCAGCTCAGTTGCCTCCTTTTCGGTCAGAAAGCTTGGCCCGCGGAGAGTGTCGTAGGCTACGCGTGAAGATGCGCGACGGCCAAAGAGAGAGATTCGCGCGTGTACAGCCGCATACACAATTGCAATTCAAGGAACAGGGAGTCGGCGGACAATAAGCACTCGAATATGATTAAAAGTAGAGGCGTATAAATTTTAATTAGCAACAAAGGAATACATAGTATCGAAACGCGTCGATATAAACAATATTAATCGCAACGCAACAAACTCGCAATAGTTTGACAGTGAAGCGAACGGAACTGCGCACGCGCTACGCGGTTAAGGTCGCGCAAGCACCCGCTCTGTTGTGAGTTGTGCACACTGGCGACAGCGAACCGGTGCGCACCGTTCGAACGTGGAAGCGACAAAAGAAAAGGCGAGCGTAAACGCGTGGCTTAGTTAACGCAAAAAGGGAGAGAGCGGTATAGAGAGAGAAGCCAGGTACTAGATCTGGTACTTACAGTATGGTCGCTTGTACTCTAACCCGCAAACCGAGGGCACACAATAGCGGGCTCGCTTCTGCCGCGCACTCGCTTCCGCTGGTCGGCTGACTCGCAACAACGCCTCTCTTATTGTGTAGGCAGCGTACGTAGGCTGGATGTCCGCGGTAGGCCTCGGCTCGCCAGAAGGAAATTGAAGAATACTCCTGACGACTCGCGCGAGGGACGTTAACCCGTCGATCGTCGAAAACGGACTGTATCAATATTCGAAACTCTCTCTCTCTCCTCGCAAGCAAGCGTCTCTCCGCGAGGTCCGCGCCGCGAGTCGATATCGATTATCATACGCAAGTCGCGTCGCTTACCAGTTCGCTGACGTCCGTAATGCTGTAATTATTCAAACAATATGGTAATTTATAATGATTATTAAATATATTAGTTACTGGCTTCTTGGGGAGAGAGAGAGACATAACGAATATACAAATGTTTCGTTATAATCTTTAAACGCTTTATTTTAGTACATAAACACACAGTATACACAAATGACGTGAATCCACAGTGCGCTTAGAAAGCCGAACACTACCGATATACGTTACCTCTCTACCATTAGTCCCGAACACAACAACCGATAAAGATGTACTCAAAAATCGACAAGACTGCATGGCTCCGCGAACACAACTAACGCGCCCGAACAAAATAGGGAAAGAGAAAGATAGAGAGGGGGGAAGAGAGAGAGAGAACACGGCACTGACCTCTGCTGCACGCGTGTGCTTGCTGTCTCACTGCTATTGATGATGTTACTGCCATTATTTGTTACTACAATTGCCGTTACCTCCGCTGCTATCGCTACTACGACGATTGTCGCTTTTGGTTATTGCTGTTACTGTTGAAATGGTCAAATACGATAGTTGCCGCACTAAGAGAAAAAAATATGCAATGTTATACATGTCAGTGTACAGAATGTAAGGGTTTGTAATTAATTTTGAGAGTTTGCACCCCTTAGTTAATATAGGTGATTTTAAAATTGCTATAAAGGAATATGAATAAAACAACGATACAAATACAATACTGTAAAAATCATCTGATATATTCTGTATCGTGTGACGAAGATACCGCTATGACTGTTTACCGTGGAATTAGAATGCGATTATAACATTTAAGACAAATATTAAGTTAACAGATAATTATTAAATATTGTTATTAAATCTGAACTACCAAATACGAAAAGCAATATCCTACCATTTTAATACTACCAAAAACTCAAGCACACAAAAAAAATACTATTATTAAAGTGCGGTTTATATAAAACATGCATGAGAACACACAACTGAAGATCGCCCTATAAGAAAAAAAATTAAAGATGTAAAATGCACTAATTTTATGGTAAGCACACTGCAAAATACAAAGAATGTCCAATTCGTAAAAATTATATCCAAAATTAAGTAAAAAATAGCCATTTGTTTGTGTTATGATCTTCTCATTTGACATAAATCACTGTTCGTTAAGCAACTTTTTTAGATTTAAAGAAGAAGGTCACTAGGAGCCAAATCTAGTGAATACGATAGATGGTCCACTAATTCGGACTTTAATTCTTGAATTTTGAATATGGAAACTACACAAGTATGCACTCTTGCATTGTTTTAATGAAACAAAATTTGTCCTTGTTCAAGAGAGGATGATTTTCGTTAATTTTTTCACTTAAATAGTTCTATGATACTTATCAGTGACTGTTTGTTCTATTTTTTAATAGTTGATGAAGATAATTCAACGTGCATTTTAAAAATATAGTGACCATAACCTTGCTGGTCGAGTTAACTGTCGTCGTTTTCTTTGGAGCCTGTTCACTTTTAAAAATCCGCTGTTTTGACTGTTCCTGTGTTTCGGAAGTATAGACTATTTATTTGTCTTGGTGACTCCATCTACAGTTGTAAATCATCGCAGAAAGTCGTCCGAATTGCGAGTGATGCGTGTTAAGAAGACCTTAGCGGTGACAATATGATTGTGTTTATTCTCTACTGTGAACAAACGCGGCACTCATCTTGCCAAAATTTTTCTCATGGCTAATTTATCATGCAAAAACGAAACGACAGTACCTTTTGATACCTCCGACATCTCAACTATTTCATGCAGTTTTATTCTCCTAGAACTTAGTATCATATTGTGTATTTAGTCAATCATTTAGGGAGTACTCATTTGTACAGGACGTCTTAAACAATGCTCATCTTTTTGTTCATATACGGCTAAATTTAAATTTATTTATTCAATTGTAATCAGTTGCAAATACAGGGATGGATACGCCATGAATTGTGTCTTACTCAGTTTTAATTTCTTTCGGTATAAAATCTTTTAAATAGAAGTTTTTTATTACCGTTCGAAATTAACTTTTTTCCATTGTTTCTTAAAGAATGACCTTAATAATTTCCAAAAATTACTTTGTCTGGAAAATTTTGAAGGTGTTTCCAGACTTTTTGGACATCCTGTATACGAGGAACTGGACGAGAAAATTTATGAGATATTGAGAGAAGCGGCGGAAGACAATAGTGACAGAAGAGAAATATTATGAGGGAATTTTTATGCAAAGACTGCGAAAGAGGGAAGAGTGTGGGAATCGAATGAGGATCCATATGAAGTGAAAGTAAAAGATAAAATAGTAAATAGAGAGGAAAAATAAATGCTATAATGAATGAGGAACAAAGATATTAAACGGAAAGACAGATGAAGATATAAACGGAGAGCTGACATATAGGAACAAGAAGGTCAACGACAATGGACTACGTAACAGTCAATGCAAAGGCGTACAAGGATATAGGCATAATGAAAATAACGGGAAAGTATAAATAGGCCCATTTGCCGATGACGATAGAAATAGAGGAAGAAAAAGAAAAAATATAACAGGAATAAGAAAGGGCGGTTTATAATTAGAGCACGGAATGAACAAATGTATATATATTAGATGGGTGAGAGTAACGGAAGGTCAAAATGAGTAGGAAGGAATAAAATTAGAGTTACAAACACGATAGGAAGGAAGAAAGTAAGAGAAAAAAGGGAAGAGGAATGTATGATGGAATGATGAATGTAGGAAAAAAGAAGAAGAGTAATGGAGATGTTGAAAGAAGTTATAGAAGGTAACGGAGAGAGAACAGAGTACTTAGAAGCATAGAGAGATTGCAAGGGGGCAATCGAAGAAACAAAAGAAAAAAAAGATAAACAAAATTATAAAAGAGATAGATAGAAAGAGATAAGATAGGTCAAGAATTTTGAAAACAAGCAAACAAAAATAAGAGAAGAGAAGGAACCGGCTACAGCATAACAGAAGAAAAATGAACAAAATATTTCAAGACGCAATTGGGAAAAGAAAAGGAAGAAGAAAGCGAAAAAAAAGAAAATAAAGGAAAAAGGTAAAAAGGAGCCCAAGCAATAGAAGAAACGAAAATGGAACAAATAATTAAAAAAATGAATATGAAAAAGGCACCAGAAGAAAACTAAATAACTAATGAGGCATGGAAAGTGAAAATGAAGAAGTTAAAAAGAATACCCAGAAAATTGAAGAAAGAGAATCATAACACCAATATACAAGAAAGGAAGCAAGAAAGACATAGATAATTATAGAGGAATTACACTGACGGATACATGATACGAGGGTGGTCCGATAAGTACTTAGCCTTACCGCCCGATGGTGCCACTCTCGCAAAAGAAATATTCTATCACGTAGTACAACCTTCTCGATGGTTACTGTCAAGATTTCAGCCGGATCGGAGTTGTAGTTTATTTTTGAGAGCGTGTGAAAACAAGTGTGTCCGTTGATTTCTGAAAAATAGAAAAAGAGCAGTATCCGTCGGTGATTCGATTCTTGTTTTTGGAAGGGAAATCGCGCAGCGAAATCAAAAAGCGCTTGGATGCTGTATGCGGTGACTCTTCTCCTTCGATGGCGACCGTCAAAAATTGGTTTAACGAGTTTCAACGTGGTCGCACGTCGATTTTTGAAGAGCCACGTCCAGGTGCT